ATAATAATAATAATAATAATAATAATAATAATAATAATAATAATAATCAGAGCTGACTAATTAATGTGGCTTTGATTTAAACTGTTTTTTAAATGTCTATTTGATGAGCTTTTTGGAGAAAATATTTGAGCAATACAAAGTAAGGCTCAAATCTGAAAAGTTGTTCATGTTTCAATTGAATGTTTTTCAAAACAGAAAACAAAGAATGTGCCATTCATTTAGCGTCATCTTTATTACAACTTACCTTCTGAGTTCAGCTTTCATGATCCTCATAGTATCTTGTAGATCCCAAATACTTGCCTTGATGTTGTTCCCTTCATTAAGGAGATAGGTAATTTGTTCTCTCAAACATATATTCATATGCCTGGACTGAAAGATGGAAGATCCTTTGACTGCTATCCAAGTGTCCCTTGTTGGGGTACATATATAGAGAGACATATCAGTTATTGCTGTTATAGAATTTGGGTCCATTTTTTGTATCTCACTCTAATGTTTGAGGGCAAAAATGTGCAGTGATCCAGAGCTAATGGTATTTTTTACTTCTTTCAGCTTCTCAATATTTGGAGAAGTAAGAGGATTGTTGGAGGCATCATATGGAAATATTCCCTTAATTAGTCATAAAATAGTCTTTTAAAGAACAGATGTATCAGTGAGCTGCAGAGTAGGCAGAATATTAGGCTCAGGTAGAAGAAGGTGCCATGAGATTTAATACATTTCTCTTCCAATGTCTTAAAACCTGGGCTTTTTGGTTGTTATATTCCTAGTTTGAAGATACTTACTGTGCATTCTTGGTTTCTTTATTGACAGCTACATAGGTTTCTGAAATCTGCTGGAAATAATAACAAATATTTGATATCTCCTTTTAAAAAAATGTTCAAGAACAACTATTTTTCAACTGTTTAATAGCTTGGTTTATGCAGTTTTGAGCTATCCCAGGTATAGCTGAGTATATGGGAAAGTACTTGTTGGAAATTTTGAGAGTTATCATTTCTACTTCCAGAACTACTAATAATAAGTACCAGATTTAGGGAGACTGATAATCCTAGTTTGGTGCTTATTTCTGAATAATTGGTTTATAATTTTTTAATGATATAATAATGTATGATGAAATCTTACCAAAACATGGCCTATAAGTCAATTACTTTACCCATCCATTTATACAACCAATTTATCCATCTGCTAATTTTCAATATTTAAGAGTCCACCTATTTATTTCCACTTTCTGGTATCTGGAGGTGGGACAAAATACACATGATAGTAGATTTGGAGATGGAGACAACAGCAACCAGAAGCACTACAGATAAACCTCCAAGTGCTTCAACGACCCCCTAAAAGGATGAAAATGACCAGCTGTCTGCAACAAATATCAATCCTTTCCCACCATTCAGTCAGAGCTGAAGAAGCTTCTTGGATGAGAAGTGAGATGTCTTCGAAGAAAAAAACAACAAAGTCCAGTTGCCTCCTGAAAAAGCATCTTTGGGATATTTTAACAATGGCAACACAGTTTCAAGTCCCACTTCTCATTTTTTTTTCTCAGAAATTCTATGAATAGCTAGCACTATATTATTGCTGATGTTATTTTTTAAAATCATTTTAATGTTTACTGGCTTTTTAATGAGTTGCTTCTAGAGGGAATGGACAGCACACACATATGATAAACAAATATATAAAAATGCCTGTTTAGTGGAGGCACAGTGAAGTATAGAAACTGTTCAGGAATGTTGATTTTCCCTGTCATTCAAGCACACTGTAAAGCAGGGGTGTCAAACTCAAGCCCGGAGGCCAGATCTAGCCCATGGGGTGCTTAGATCTGGCCCAGGGGGCTACTCTAGAAACAATGAAGGACCGGCTCACGGTGCCTCTGTCAGCAAAAACGGAGGTCGTGAGGGCCACAGCCACCCCCCCAAGCTCCATTTTCACTGGCAGAGGGTTGCAGGAGGCCGTTGAAGCCGAAAATGGAACTCAGAAACCCATTTTCACTGGCAGAGTGCTCAGACCACCACAGGCGCCCCCAACACAAGTGATGTCGAGATGGTCACACCCATCCTGGCCACACCCACTCCAGCCTCCCAAAGTCAAACACAACCTTGATCCCTCAATGAAATTGACATCCCTGCTGTAAAGCAATTTATACAGGTGTTTGCTTGAATGGGGTACAAAGGCAGAGTTTTTCCTTTTCAGGATCAACAGTCCAGGGAAGAAGCCTTTAGGTTTCTACCTATTATACTAAAGGTTTTGAGATACAGTTACTGTTCCCTGAAGATCTTTACTTGTTGCTATTACGTGGACATATGACATCCAGGTTTAGCAGGATGTTTTTTTCCTTCATGTTATTAAGATTATACAAGCTTTGAGGACATGGGGAAAATTCTCCAGGTCTTCCCTTTCCATCATACAGTGAACAAATCTGTTTTAACAGATATGGTCAACTAACACACATCAGGGTTGCCTGCAGGGTATGGTGGAGCATCAAGATGTTGACCAATAATGTACAACACACATTTAAAAAGTGTAGAGCTTTAATCACACAACAGCCATATTGACATTTTTAAAATCATACTCTCCAGATATCCTAGGCACCCATTCCAGCTCCTAGGAGAGAATGTTCAAAACTATTTAACACTAGTATTTATTTTCTATTGTAAAACTTAGTAGTTTATACTTCAGCATCCAGCAGGTCAATCACATGTAACATTTGTAAAACTGCAAAGTTTGGTGACAGGGTGAAAGATTGAATGGTTCAGAAGTTACTTTACATCCTGAAACCACGGACAGAGTGTTTGGTATCTCAATGTGTAAAATAGCAGATTGTTTGACAGACTGGTGTACTAATTCTATAGCATTATAACCAGACAAAGTAATCATTATAGAGCTAGGGAGACATGATAAAGGTAGCATTTCTTTTCTACTTTTACTATTACTTTGGAGCAGTGATTGTATTCGATTTTTTTTACTACTGGTTGTATGGGTGTGGCTTGGTGGGCGTGGCCAGGGAAAGATACTATAAAATCTCCAGTCAGAGGTAGTATATGCTGGTTCTCTTCAACTACTCCAAATTTTAGCTACCCATTCTCCAGAACTGGTCAGAATTTGCTGATTACCACCTCTGCTTTGGAGATGCATCATTGAGTTATTGTGCCCTCTCCTGGTCTCCCCTTCCACCAGTAACTCAATAGATATCTTCTTTAATCACAGAGTATTTCTTTAGAATGATACTCGATATGTTGTACAAGAATCCATTTTTAAACTCCAATAAGATTAATTATTCATTTTATATTCAGAACTAATTTAGATTTCAATTTTATCAAACCTCTGAGGATAAGAAGGGAACAGCCAAACGAATGTTAGTGAATTATAATGTATCAAGAGTGGCTATATTTTTATTTATACAATTACCATGGAACAAATATACATATAATGATCAGTATTACCTTAGTTTCACTCATATCATGCTCTGCCAAGAAATATATTAAGAAACATCTAATCTGATTTTCCTTGTAGTTTAGCTGACTCCATGTATAATGTGTGGTGTGTGTTATGTAGCATGTGTCTGTGTGCTTATCTGTATGTGCTTGTGTATATCTGTATCTGTATCTGTGTGTGTCTGTATGTCTCTATCTGTGTAGGCCTTAATATAGCTTTGAGGTCATAAAGGGCTTGACCGCTTCAAGTGAAAACAACTTGCTGAGGAGTGGTGGTTGTTACTTTTCTGACCACTAGATGGCAATGCTGCTCTAACGAATACTTTAGCTTGGATAACAGCATTTTCTTAATTTTCAATTAATACCATTCTACTTTTGTTTTTATTCCAAGTCAAGAAAAAAAAATTAAATTTTAACCATCATATCGGGAAGATCTTAGATGTTTGTCTTCAAAAATTACTGGAGAAATAGAAGGAACTAAGAAGCACATTGCAAAAATTAGGAGTATGAAATTTAATGAACGCTAGGATATTTGGCATATTTTTCATTAGAGTGAATTCTTATCGTATTTTTTATAGCTCATTGTATTAAATCATGTTTTGTATAAGTGAAACAGACAATCTGGGAAGATTCATTTTCAGATCTACCCTTAGTCAGAGACATTCACTGATTGGGTCTGTTTTCTTTTTTTGTCATTCTCTCTCTTTTCTTCCTTCCTTCCTTCCCTCCCTTTCTCCCCCTCTCTCTTGTGAGAAAGACGAAGCTGGGGTCTTAGGTACATCATCTTGAGCTCCTGGAGCAAAAGTTATATATAAATTAAATGAAGGAATACATATTTAGCCCAGCCACATTTTGGAAATTTGAAATGAAGTGTGGAAAAATCTCTTTTATAATTTGAGAACAAGGGCACATGTTTGAGCAAAACCATTAGTTATGAGGCTATATATTTATAAAGGTCCAAAGGTTTGACTTTTCTCTTTAAAATTAGATTAAAAACTAGTAAAAGGTAAATAAAATTAAAGAATAAAAAGAAAAATAGCAAGCACTATGGAAATAAAAAAAGAATATAGTAAAGAAAAAAAAAGAAAAACAGAGAAATGACTTCTCCCTTCATCACAATACGTATAAACATTTTTAGAAACTTATCATCTCTTAAAATATATCTTCTTCCTACATTTCATCTCTTGGCTATAAACAGATCCTTAAAACTTCATTTTTTTCAGTCCATGTCAGGAAATATCCATTAAGGATTACCAAAGATAGCAACATATCTATTTGAACCTTGATCAAATAAACCAACTTTATATTCCTTTCTTCTACTTTTAACAATCTTAATCTTATTTCCCTTCAAATAATATCATAGAATGTGATTTTTTTATTCATTTCTTTGTGCCTTCTCACAAAATTCTTCAAAATTTTAGCAAGCCTCTTTTGTAAAATGAATGTGGGAAGATTATCCAGGTCACCCTATTGGTCTATTATTTATATATCCATTTTAATTATTAAGACATTAATTTACATTTGTATGTCCAATTTTAGCATCATTTTCCATATTAAACTTGCACCTGTCATTTTTAAATTTGCTTTGCAATCAGTTGCTGTCTTGCCGTGTAAAACTTGTTCATTATCCATAGCATATTTTTGACAAATTGTATCTATAATGGCAAACATTCATAAAATTAATTTTTGGGTCCATTGTTGCCCTGTTTCAGTCCACAGACACAACATGCCCAAGAATTTTAAGCCCTTTATTGATAGTCTAGGCCCTTAATATGAATTTCCCAGATTGCAACTTATACCCAGGGCAAAGTCCTATTGCTTATTCTAGGCACAAGGATACCAAATTCTTATTCTAGGCACAAGGATACCAAAAGTAAAAGCAAAGGCAAGGCAAAGAGTCTGCAAAGTCCACAAACCAGCTCCAGTCTGAAGTCCAAAGTATGAGTCCAAAATCCACGAGAAAATCCAAAGTCCAAATGTAGCACAGTCCACTAAAACTGAAGTCACAAAGAAAAGGCACGCACACAACAAGATAATGGGCAGTTGTTTCCAACAACCCCCTGCTCCACTCATCAGACTAAATAACTGCTTGGTGACAAAGCTCATCAGGAAGGGTGAGGCTGCCTTCTTGTGAGTAGCCTCACTGACCTCCATTGAACCTGCTCCCATTCCACACTGTGCATTTGTGGATCAGGTGGGGGAGGCAATTCCACCTCATCCTCACTGGCTGGCTGCAGCTGTGCAACTTCTACAATCTGTACTTTTGGAGGGGGGCTCTGAGTTTTCCAGCTGCATCTGCACCTCTCCTTTTTTCCCCTCCAGCTAGATGTTTGTCCAGTTGTCCCTCCAGTGAGCCCTCCGCTAATGCCTGGCCTCTCCACTTCTGGCTTGGAGACCTTGTCAACTTCCTGGTGTTCCTTTGCACCACCACCACCCGTCCAAATCCCCATAGTTGTTTCTTCCTCATCGTCAGAGCTGGTATGTGGGGAAGCCATCACAATTGTTCACAAATAACCTTCAATACATCCCATGTATTTTGCTTCATTAGTAAGTCAAATTTAAGTGTTCTTTTTTAAATTGTTGTCTTTGATTCCTTCTATTTTCTTCTCTGTCCAATTTTCAAAGTTCAATTCTATCTTTAAAAAACAACAACAACACAAAAGCATTTTCCCATGGGAAGGATTCTTATACTTAATTCCAAAAACTTGTTTCAAATCCATCTGGACTCCTAGTCAGTTTCTCACTTTGCAAAATCAGAATTCTAATCACCCTTTGGCTATTTATTCCTTCATCTCCCAGAGCTCTAAACCCAATGTAGTCTTGTGGTCCTCTTGCATGGAGCAACAGCTGGAGCACCTGTGAGTGATTTGAAGTCCTCTCCTTCCCACTGGCTCTTCATTCTGCTGTGGGTGTTGGTTCCAATTTTAACAGAGCTATCTTCACTTCACAATTTCTTTCCTGGAAGTACAAGTGGTGGCAAAGATCTTATGATAATACATTGAGCTGCACATTTTGAAAAAGGGTGACTCTTTTTCAGAAAAAAAAAAAAATCAGACAATATAATTTTATGTGAATGAGAGTTAATTTATTCTTTAAAAATTAAGCTGTAGACATTATATTTTATTTATATAGATATAACTGAGGGGTTCTCTCTGAGGTTCTTGTTTTGTTGCAGACATTTCATTACACAATTTTCATCAGTGCTACACTGCTGCATATATAATTCTTGTTAATATAATTCTTGTAATAGAAAGATAGAATAATTCATGTGTCTTCTGTTTCTTTTTTTAAATCTATATTTCCTCTTCTTTATAATCACATTTGTTTAGATAGATTTTTATTTTTTGTATTCACAATTTTTGTTCTTTGATTTTTATTTGTAGTTGTAGATAATTAATTGTATTAAAAAAGATCAATTTATAATTCTTCTCTTTCCACTAAATGAAAGGAAATATTTTGGTACCATGATTTCAGGGACTGTAAGAAAGAGAGCTGTGATTTTTGAACTGTCAGATTATGATCTCCCTATATTTGATAAGACAATGCATACCTTGCCTCCTCAAAACCAGGAAGGGGCAAGAAACTTCAACTCTTGGCTATCATCTAATACTAGGCCCTCAGCCTATTTCTGTTAAGACAAGACATGAGCCCTAAATGACTTCTTTGCATGACATTTCGTTTTATATTGCATGCCAAATGTTTGGCTGTAAGATGCATGCACTTTCCATAAAGATGCATTTTTATTTGTTTTATTGCATTCAATATGCTGTTGTGAGAAGTTGTGATATATTCTTTGTCTAAATATCAGAGCTCATATTTTGTCATCAACGGATGGAGGACAGATGGGAGACATGTAAACAAATAACACACAAAATGCCAAACTGAATATTGCGTTTCATGTCATGCTTACAATTGACATGCATGTCTTTGCATGGGAAATAAAAGCCAAGGAAAAGCTCTAGAAGACATTGGATCAATGTTAGGTTAAAAAGATCCAATATATGTCTCCCTATTTTACTCTTAACATAGACTGTGTTTACATTTCTGTATGTTCTTCCGTTCTTACATTTCCAAAGGTTTCAGTCCTTTAATTGTAGTGGGATGAAGGTAGGTGGCTTCTCTCAGTGCTGATTTACTCCTGAATATACTTGCACAATGTGAAATAGAAAACATAAAGACACAATGCATTGAGTTGTTCCCTCCTATTATCATTTGGTCACTATGCCTCCTTCTTGTTGTAGGGATTTAGAAGCTTAATACCTATTCTCTATCTTAGTTTATGGTATATAAGAATTCGGTTGAACTACTTCTATACCAAAGGAAAAGCCATCTTAATAATTGTTTTTCTGGGATATTAAACCAAATTAATGGCTGCTTTATAGCCTAAGCAAAGCACACAGTTGTTGCCTTGCATCAGTAGATCTATGAATGATGAGCAATGTTTGTAAAGAGGAAGAATCCATGACTAAATCCAACTGATTTCCGCAGAAGTGAGCAAATGCATAACACAACAGTTGATCAACAGAATATGTATCTCTGCCCGTTTTTTAGAGGAGAAGCACAGTTGGGAAGACATGTATATCTTTGATTCTGGGAATGTCACAAGTCAGAGAAATAAATGTACAAATATACCATTGTGCACCCGCTGCTAGTGAAGTGAAGAAATGCAGTAGGTTGATAGCATTGCAGAGAGGTTACTAACACAGCTCATTGCTTCTCAAACTGTAGTTATTTATGAATTTATTTATACAGTATTATATAAGCAATACTGTAATCAGGCATGGAATAGATAAAGATAAACAGTAAAGTGAGATAAATATTTAGATTACAATTTTAATAGCTGTAGCTCATGTGGGTCAACAATCACATCATTATGGGTCATGTGAAAATTTACTTGCTGAGCCTACTGGCAATTCTAGTCCTACTGCCAATCCATCTTCAGCTTTTAGATAAAATCTGGCTTTGTTCCATAACTGCAAACCATCACAACATCATTGTTTTTAGATATTGTACAATAAAGAGCA